ATAATAATAACTTCAATACTTAGCGTTAAAATGTGCTAGGTTGAGACCATGGATACCTAGCTCCCAAGAAAATACAAGTAAGACTTTTTTTTATCAGCAACTAACATAACCAAAGGCTGATTAAATATTTTGAAAATAGAATTTCTTCTACAAAGATTGAATTTCTGGCTGCCATCATAACCTATCAATATCCATACAAGATGTCTAAGCACTTACTTAATAAGCAACATTAGTAGCTGACAGCCTCCTCACATGAATCAGTGGTCCCCTATTCTGTTATATTTTTATCTCTGTATAACTAATTAACATTCCCATTATCAACTATTGTACGGGAGATTTTCTTTCTAACTAACCTCACCTATATAACCTCATCTACTATACACACTTTCACCGTGAGTTAAAGTCATATACCGAAGCTTGCCTGTTTTCTGTAATGGCACTTTTCTGAGTGCATCAAATATGCTTTTCTGCATGGTATCCCTCTATGGAGTTCTCAGATTTTCAGACTTTTTAAAGCAAACAGATTCGAAAATTTTACCAATCGTACAACTATCTATCCACCACTTTCCTCCCCAGCCACCACAAGCACCCAACTTCATCGTGATACTCGCTCTACCTGGAAATTCATAGTCCAAAACATTGTTGCAGCCCATATACCATCATATCTCAGTCCATTCTACCACATGTGATAAGTCTGGACTCTATTGCAGCAATTTGGTCCACTCTGCACAAGAGACAACAATCTACCAACCACTCTCATGTTATACAACTCAGAAAAGAGTTGCATAATATCACCATGAAGAACAATTCAATGACCAAATACCTAACGGAAATCAAATCCTTGCTAGATAGCAGCAGGAAAAAGCAAATGTTGATCATGAGGAAGTTATATTGTATACCTTGAATGGTCTACCCCCTTCCTACAACTCATTCACAAGGATCCTAACAGTTTAGAAGAACTATACTATTTGCTATGCAATGAAACAATCCATCAACAAACCATAACAGCCAAAGAGCAAACAACTACTCAATTTGCTCCACTCTATAAAAGGAAGAGATGGAAAACAATTTTCTAGAGGAAGAGGAAAGACATTCTCATCAGCTCAACAGACAAAACACAAATCAGCAACAATTTGTCAAAGATGTCGAAAATCAACTCACACAGCTTTCAATTGATGGCATAGATCAAACCTTTCCTACATACCCAGTTCTATCAAACAAACACCCATAGACCTTTTAGCCAACTCCAGCTCCACCCCATCTGAATGGATACTCGATAGTGATGCTACATCACACCTCACACCTAATTATGCAAATCTGAAACAGACCAGCACATATACAGGAGCTGAACAAGTGGTAGTAGGAAATGGAGAGGCACTGCCATCTCAAATACTGGACAGGGCATTTTACCAACTCTGAACCGTAAGCTTGTTCTTAGCTGCCATCTACATTTACCAAATTTTCCCATAAATTACTTTTTGTCCATAATTCGCTAATTGACACCTGCTGCATTTCTTTTGACAACAATGGTTATCACATAAAAGACATAACCAGAATCAAACAATCCTCAACGGCCGAAGCAGCCAAGGGGTGTATCCTATTCACACTCATTCAGCCCTTCATCATCGTCTCCAACAACCTGCCAACTGGCAACAGCATCTGGGTTATCCACATCTTGAAATTCTCAAAGCATCTCTCCAAAGCTCAAACATCTCTAAACATACAAAGTTCAGCTGCTGCTTGTACTGCCTATCTTTCTGCCAAAAGTCAAAAATTGCATCTACCTATGTCTCTTTGTAGGAGTACTAAACATTTCCACTTGTTGCATTCTAAAATTTGGGGTTCTGCCCCTATTATGTCACTGTATGGTCACAAACATTATATACTATCTGTTGACAATTATTCTCATTTTTCATGGTTGTTCCCTATGAAAACTAAAACTAAATCTATCTCCAAATTTAAACAACTACATAAATTAATACAAAATCAGTTTAATACATCACTAAAAACTATAACTGATGGTGGAGGAGAATTTACCTAATATGCTTTCACTTCAAAACTCAACACTCATGTCATTCAACACCAACAAAGTTGTCCCTAAAGATAAGAACAAAATATTGTAGCCGAGAGAAAACATCAACATATTATTGAAAAAGCTCGCATTCTTCTCTTAACAGCCTTTCATCCACATCAATTCTGGGTTGATGCCACTCAAAAAGTTGTCTATCTAATAAACAGGTTGCCCTCCAAAAAATACAGATCATTAGTCACCATTTCAGTTACTCTATAACAAAATCCCAACAACCTCTCACTTGAGTATTTGAAACGTCATGCTACCCTATGCAACATCATACACTCACTACAAAGCTATCATCTAAAGCTCTTCCTTGCAATTTTCTTGGCTATTCCACACAACACAATGGCTACAGATGTTACAACCCCTCAGCCCAAAAACAAGTCATAGACAAACATGTTATTTTTTATGAGACACTTTCCATATCACTTTCCTATCACATCTCCTCTTCCCATTCCTACAACCACATACACACCTTCATTGCTCCTTCTACCTATAATATCAAACAATAAAACCAGCCAAAACATCCCACACAATCTTCAAATACCTACAGTTCTACCATCTAAGACCACCTCCAATCCAACAACTACTCCACAACAAATGTGCACACCTCCCCAACCTGTAACTGTCCCTCAAATCTCAAGACATCCCAACAAAACCAGATTCCAAACTGATCACCTGTATGCAAAAATAATTCTTAATCCGCATCTTCCAACATCATCAGCAATATACCCAATTAACCAATTACATACAATCAAGCCATGAAATTCCCTCACTGGAAGAAAACTATGCTTCAAGAATACTCAGCACTTATATTTCAAGACACTAGGGATGTGGTTCCTCCTCCATCTAATCATCCTAACATAAGTCGTAAGAGGATTTACAAGACCAACCTGCCTTCGGATGGATCCATTGATAAGCACAGAGCATGGTTAGTAGCTCAAGGGTTCAAATAAAAGTATGGCATTAACTATCAAGAAACTTTTAGCCCATTTGCCAAGATGCCAACCATCAGATTAATGCTCATAGCTGATCTAAATAATCATTGGCCAATTCCACAACTAGATGTGTCCAATGCTTTCTTACATGCCACATTAGATGATGAAATTTACATGACACAACCTCAGGGCTTCCAAGATTCTCAAGCAATCTCACTTTGTGTGTGGATTGAAGAAGGCACTTTTTGGACTAAAGCAAGGCCCTAAACTACGGTACTCCACTTTCTCCTATCTCAAACAGCAGGGTTTCAATCTCAGCCAACCAGATCCCTCACTCTTAATTTATCACAAAGTTAATACTCACATTTTCTTACTAGTATATGTAGATGACATATTGGTCACAGGAAACAGTTCAGAAGCTATAATTGCCCTCATTACTAAGCTACACAATAGATTTCACATAAAAGAACTGGGGCGGCTCTCTACTTTACTGGGAATCCAGTTTCATCATTCAGAACAAGGAATTCACTTGAGCAAACACCATACATCCAGGATCTCCTGACTCAAAACTGGTTTTCAGAATTGCAAATCAGCAACTACCCCTTGTCCCACCAAGCTCACAGATGATGTTTCCCAACAACAATCACCTTCAGATTCTACAAAGTTCAAAAGCATTTCTGGCTCTCTAAAATATTTGACTGTCAAAAGTCCTAGTATAGCATATGCAATTAATCAGGTATGTCAGCATATGCAAGCTCCCACAGCAGGCCATTTTCAGCTCATCAAACGGATACTAAGGTGTCTCAAAAGTCCCTTGGAATTCAGTTCACACCGGGATCCACAATCTTCACTCCTACTCAGATTCAAATTTAGCAGGCGGTCCGGTCACTAGAAGATACATCAGGGCATTGCACGCTTTTGGCTAACAATCTAATATCATGGAAAGTTCAAAAACAACCTACAGTGCCCAGGTTTTCAACTAAAGCAGCATACTAGGCGTTATGCTTAACAATTACAAAAATTATTTGACTTCAGAGACTAGCAACAAATTTTCAGAAAAATATCACAACACCCACCACTATCCACTGTGATAATATATCAGCAAGTGCCTTAGCTAACAATCCCATCTTCCATGGTCGCACCAAACAAATAGAGGTGGATCACCACTTCATTCCGGATCAGATCGAAGCCAAAGTTATGACAGTCCAACATAATTCTATGCAGCATCAATTGGCAGACATCTTCACAAAAGCTCTCCCCATCAGCACATTTCTACATCTAAGAGACAAACTTACCATCCAACTCTAGAATACTAAGTTAGAGGGGCCATGACAACCTCCTCAAATGAATCAGTGATCCCCTATTATGTTATTTCTTTATATATGCATAACCAATTACAATTCCCAATATGAATTACTACTGTACGAGAGATTCTCTACCTAACCTCACCTATATGACCTCATCCTCTACTGTACACTCTTTGAGTGAAATTATATACTGAAGCTTGCCTGTTTTCTGTAATGGCGCTATTCTGAGTCCATCAAATCTTTTTCCTCAGTAGTAACTAAATATATATAAAAAAAACTAATATTATTACATAAAAGCAGCGAAAGATTAGCAAATTGTCATGTTAAGCGTCTTCAACAACTAACACATGGAGCAATCCACCATATCTTCAAGTTAGCCAGCAGCACGATCATTACAAATACCCGAAAACCAAATTCATTAAATCAGCATCAAAGGTCATAATTAATTTGAAATTTTAATAATAAACGATTTCATCACATCCTTCGAAAAAATCCCATCCGGTAACATTAATTAATTAACGGCATACACCAAAACCCTAACTTAGAAAAGTAAATCAGAAGGTAATTCGATCATTAAACCAAACCAGTTCAAAATCCATAACAGCCAAACGAAACCAACCCAGATCAAGCAAAGATACCGAATTTCTACATCTGAACAGCGGAGAACAAAAGTGCGCGAACCTGTGCAGTCGGCAAAGATCTTGATGAACCACCCATGGAGGCGAACGCCATCAGCAGAGTGAAGCCAGACATCCTCGTAGGCAAGCCGTAGCCGAGCAGGGGTGATGGCGTAGGACTTACTTAGCCCCGGAAGCACCGGAACATACACCAGCCGCTCCTGGAACGCCACAAGCAAAGCCAAAGCCGCCGCCGCTACTACACCCACCAGGTAAACAAACGCGTACAAATACGAAACCATACCTCTATTTCCTTCTTCTCTCTAAATATGTTCAGATTTCACGGCTGTTTCCTCTCTCTGGCCGGTGGAGAGGTTCGTCGGACGGTTGGTGGGAGGAAGCAAAGTGCGAGGGGAGCTAGCGCCGGCAGGATGCACGTGCGGCTCGTGGGCCGCTCGCATCGGCCGAATCTATTCCGAGAAGAGCTTTGGTTTGCTCGTTGGCGGTCCCTAAATTGGGAAACAAGCCAGATTTTCAGTGCAAGGTCTTCTTCTTTTAGTGATTGGAGTGTTGCAGTAAGGGAAGATGGAAACAAATCGAATGCTTTTATGTGAGGAGTTCTTAATTCTAATAAGTCGCAGGTGGTGGGGCCTGGAGAGGCCCGTTTTGTGCCAGACAGGACGATATACGGATGATTTTGACTTGGGAGTTTTTTCTATTTTTTTTGCTCTACATGAAGCTCACATTGAAGATGTTTCAATAAGAAGTGTGATAAAGGATTTTACTTGACCAAATCCAATCTTATTTTGACTTTTTTTATTTTTTTTTAAATCTATATATTTTGAGAATTATTTATTTATGTATTCTTCAAACTTGATGTTATACTATTCATTGTGATATAATTGTATGATTATTTTTGTGACTATATAATTGTTTGTCAAGCATGTTTAAGATATAATGTTAGTTGAATGATAAATACGATCAACCTTAGTTTTTTAATTTTACGTATTTATATTTGTCGAACTCAAATTTTTTCATGAATCACACCTAAGGGATGAAGCGTGAGAATCGGAAAGAAATATACAGATGGATGAAAGAGGATTGAGTGTTTTAGTATATATGATATCAACAACCTATATTATATTTAATTTTTCTCTTTTTATAGAGGCTTATAAATATTATGAAAAGATAATTACACCCTAACCATTTTTAATCTGTCGACCACTACTCGATCAGCTTCATGTTTTGCTATTGTTGAATATCTAATGGACAGCCCTCTTGTCAGTCGACCATATCCTTAGTTGTGTTTGATTAAGTTAACCTTTGATTCAACCAGCCTCTGGATAATTTACATTTGTTCGGTCACTCGATTGATCTACGACTTCTAGTTTAGCCAGCCTCTGAGTCAGTTGACCCTTGGTCGGTCGATCAACAAATCTCTGGATTGTGGCTCAGCCGACCTCTGGATATTCTTACTTATTCTCATAGAGTCCTATCTAGTGATATGTACTTTGCTTTGAGTCATTATATTCATGAAAAATATGACCAATGAAATTTTGATTGTACATATTATAGTTTCTCGATTCTCTCATGTATTAGTAGGTCAAACTGTGATAAGAGTGAGGGAATTAAATATAGTAAAATGGTTAGTTATTATTAAATGAATCCAATGACTGATACTCCCTTTATTGTTGTGTTATTTATTGGTTCATTTTGAGTTTTTATGCTTTCTGAAAGTTTTGATGGGCTTGCATGTTTAGTTGGTTAACGAAACTTAAAATTGAAAAAAAATTGTTAATTGTAGCAGCTCCAAAGTCGACGTCGCAGTCCTGCATGTAATGTGCGCGTATATGAAGATAAGACATCATAGTTTATAGTGTCAGGACACCTGACCTGGTGCTAAGAATTTAACACAGTCAATGCAATCTTTGATGCCCCCAACATATTAAACGATGAGGTGCTCTAGCCCTAGCCTTGGAGCTGTGGCGCCCCCGCTAAAAATATTTATGACTAATGTTAGCTAGGTTGTTGCCCAACATGCATGTGAGTGCAATGACCTAGGAGTGTGCTACCCTCAATTACACCATCCAACACAACCACAAGATTGATGTATGTTGTATTATTCACTAGTCCAAACTTCATATGGTTCATGGGAATACCACAGCCATGATAGGTCACCCTTCTCATATTTGCTTTGTGTGTAAATGCTGCAGTACAATTTGACCCTGAGAGTGTAACGTAGGCCTTATACAACTCATGATGAAAGCAAGCATTTAAGCTTACCATGTGCCTGCCTAAGGGGCTCATCCTCTCCATACTCACTCTACTCATGATCAAAATTGGGATGTTCAGATTGGCATAGTTTCAATTGATTGGAAAAAAAAAACCTTTTTGGCTAGCAGTTCACTCGCTTGGACCAATATATAGACATTTAGTTTACCTGGTAGGCATAGTCACCGAATCAATTTATGGTCTACACTGAATATGACTGTGTCTCAGTTCCTCAATACATACACCTACATCTCTGAGGTTGAGCCTAATGGGGCAGCCGATGATGATGACAAAGATGACGATGATAATGAAGAGTACGCACGCGTTGAGATGTAAACTTTGCCCAGAGACAGATGGTCTTATTGATTTATCTTTCTATTAACTAGACAAGAATCCTAGTAGTCCCTTACTATTTTACTTTTAATTGTTGTGACTATAGTCCTGTGATAAGTTTTGATATGTTTTGTTGATGTTCCCTTACACGGGTATTGATTTTGTGGCAACACCCCACTCTCTGTGGGGTTATTATGTATTTGTATGATTTTTCCTTGTACTGGGGGCCTATAGAACATATTATGATTGTCCTCCCACCCTTTCTCCTTCCTCTACATGGAGAGGGAACCTTACTTTAGTATTATGCATTTTTATGTATGCACTTTGTGTGCTAAGGTTCTCTAGTTCACAATGTTTATTTATCATGCCATCGCTTGTTAGTTCTGTTCAGGAACCACAACCTCTTCTAGAGTGCCCCGATAATAATGCATTCACTTCTATGATCCACATAAGCCCATAGGAGCTGGCCGGTGGCATTTATCACATTAGCACAGTTGTGCCTTTTCTAATATTGTGGTTGTCTGCCACTATTTTGAGTCTGACAACTTTGATTGGGCAAGCATCATTATGCATAACTTGTTCATGGTTATTAATAATAATGCGGGGAACTTATAGGAAAAATGCTAAGGGTTCAATAAATTAGTGTCGCAGGAGTCTGAACCTTTCACCTCTGAAAACCCCCAGTAAAACTTATTTCTATTTTCTTATTCTTCGTTCCCTTGAAATAAGAGGCAACATGAGAGATTGTTAGTGTTGAAAATGATGATAATATGCAAGAAAATAGTTGGTGAAGATGCTTGAAGAGATAAAATTGAGTTCTATTCATGTTCGAATGTTCGAATAAGTATGAAAGAATATTTTTCGCATTTCAATATAAACATATTTTGATATTAATTGACTTGGGGAAGTTTATCCTAACAAATTTATTAGAGGTCTACTAGTACAAATATGTGCATCAAGAGGCTTATAAAGTCAAGTATTTTTATATGTATCTTAATACAAACATTTATTTATAAATCTTATGTTCTAATAAAATTTGGGAAATGAAATTTGGTTAGCCAATTTATATTGTGATGTGTGTAAAATAGACAATCAATTAACTCTTATATTACATTGAGCTTTAAAATAAATCAAAGGATTTAGAAGTCATTGTCAATTTTTCATAGGATATTTTCATCATATTCATTATCTAAAAATATACTTCACTTAATGAACTGTTTAATAGCAGTATTTATGTTGACTCCCTTGCATGTTATTGGATTTTATCACGATTTATTTCGTGGCAATTATTGTCATGACTTTTTTTTTGTGCAATTATTAGAGGCAACTTTAACTACAACTTTCTTACAAAATTTTACAAATTTTTATTATGAAAAACAATTCTTTACAATCATATTTGCTAAAATACCCATATAAATTTTAAAAGAAAGCTATAATGATTTTATAATTAATTTCGCAAATAATTATAGCTTCCCTAAATGTACCATCCACATATTAGTTGAAAACTAATAACAACACCTTTAATGATGATGATAACCCAATATAAATTCACAACTATTACTCCCATTGCACATATTTTCTTCCAAATAACTACCTCTTCGTGAAAAAAAAAAAAAAAAACTAAAAAAGATTTTATCTCATTATTTTGATCCTTTTTATAACATTTGGTTTGATATGAATAATTAAACTTGAATAGGAGAGGGCTAGTAATCATTGTGGCCTCACTCCACCTAAGACACATTATATTATATGTTATACCTTATAATGTACAGAACTAAGATCTCAAAATCCACCCCCTCAAAAAATAAAATGCTTAACATAAGTCATCTCTATAGATTTTTCATTTATAATTTAATATATTGAATTGCATATTGAAATTTTTTGAATTTTAAGAGTTTATGAAGTTTAAGGTTTGCAGAAGATTAGAGGACATAAGCGTATAAGTAAGATTGCAATCTTGTTCACTTCTATCTTAACAGCTTTCAATAAAGCAAGGCAACCATTGATTGCTATAACCTTACACATCAGATTTGGTTCTTAAAAAAAAAAATCATTTGCTATATTAATAGTATATATATATATATATATATATATATATATATAAGAGGAAATTCAACAAAGTGAGCTAAAATTTAAATCTATTTATAGTGAAAAGAAAAGATACTAATACGAGTGAGGAGTGTCAAAATTTGTGAGAGTGATTCAAACATAATTGATACTAAGCAATATTTTATACATAGTTTCTTTGATCGGATGTTCACCCACTCTCTTCTTTTACTGTATACGTAAGCAAGAATAAATATGTATATTAAACAAACAATATATAATACAATTATCATAGGTTAAATGCTATTATAAAGCTACGAATATTCTTCAAATATTTAGGCCAATTGTTTAACTATTATGGAAGAAAAATGCTCTAAGAACTCGTGATTTACAATTTTCTGTCACAATACCCATGACCACCTATCACAATAACACTATTGCTATAATTTGTGACGATAATGAGTGAAATTTAAGCTAAGAAAAATTGAAAGTGTCAATCAACGTGAGCTAATTTCGAGTTAAATCAAACTACAATAGAGAGAGAGAGAGAGGTGTGCCTTCGGTTAAGACGGATCAGTTTTAAAATTTGACAAACCGGTTTAAACCAAAATCCAGAAACCAAACTATCGAACCAAAAAAAATTTTGGCAGAACCGAATCAGCCAAATCGATGTTTAATTTGGTTTGAACGATTCAATTTTACCTAAAGCAAAATATATATGTCTAATATATAAAAAATAAAAATAAAACATCGTCCTCAAACTGAACCAGTCAAACATTATCTCTAGGCTATCTAAAAATATTGTTAAGTTAATTTCATTTATCGGTTGGTTCGTTTGAAAATTTCTTAAAACCGGATCAAGAGCTGAAAAATAATAATTTTCCCTTTAAAAATCGAATTCCAAACTTTTAATTCAAAATCAAACACCAAATACTACACACCCTTCTCTCTCTCTCTCTCTCTCTCTCTCTCTACACACACACACACACACACACAC